AAAGAAAAAGAAGTTGCTCGTATTCAAGGAAAAGAATTTGTAGAAATTGTTGGTACTTATGTTAGAGGAACTAAAGTGTAAAAATAATAATAATTAATTAATTAATTCATTCAAATCGAAAAATCAAATAATAATTATCATAGTTATTATGTAAATTATATTCAAAGAAATATTTAGAATATATCATTCATAGAAAAATAGAACCTATTTTTTATTATTGTATGTAATGTAATAAGATTACTAATGTATTTTTGATAAATAAAATCTACATTTTTTTTTTTTTTTTGAATTTATTGACAAATTTAAATTTTCTCATGATTAATTTCAAATTCAAATTTCAATAATTTTCTTTTAAAATTTAAAACGAAAAAAATTCAATAGTCAATGATGATATCGGTGTCAATAATAACAATTAAATAAAATATCTCACACGATTTTTGCAAGTCGCGTTTAATAAAATTTTATATAGAGCTATGCGTTATTATGACAGAACTTCAGCCATTATTATTATTATTATTAGGTTGATTATTATTATTAGGTTGATTATTATTATTAGAATTAGAATTATTATTATTTTGATTGTGATGATTGCGTTTGATGAATAGCAGTAGGGAAAGTTGGTGATCTGTATAATTATAACCTTCATGTATTGCTTAATATTTATACCAAGTAAACTTCCAAAACCTAAAAATGAAGAAAATTTTGAAAATAAAACTTGAAGAATTAAAAAAATCTTTTTATCAAATAGATTCTAGTAAGTATCAATTATATTTTATATTATTATTTTAATTAATTAATTATATTTAATTTATTTATTTTTTATTTTCAATTAGGTGACGATGATTTGGATACGTCTATTTATAAATTTATATTTTTTTTTTTTGTATTATTAAATTATTTATTAATTTTTTTGATATTATAAAATCTTAACACTAAGTGTAGAGTATAAAATTATTATATGAGTTTAAATAACATAGTTTTTAATTAAAATTTTTTAATTAAATAACGTCGATTGATATTTTATTTATTGAAAGCAAATAAAGTGCATTATTAATTAATTTATAGAAAAATTTTTAATTATTTTAATAGTGAATCAAATATATTTCACCATTCTTCTCTTAAATAGGAAAAAGTTGCATTCTTTCAAAAAAGGGAATAAAGAATAATTATTATAATTATCATTTATTTGTACATTATAATCTTTCGGAGTAACGGAAAGTGCGATCATGCCTTATCCACAGAGTATATTTTTGCTACCAGTATTGTACATAGACACCGCAGTACTTGGACAAAAATTACTTTTTTTTTAAAAAACGTAAATAATACAAAATTTTATTAAAAAAGAAATTACTTTGAGCTATTAATTAAAGTTGTTTATAATTGCTTTTTGCGTATGCCTATAACGTTTCAATTTATATTTATAAACTAATTAAGGCTACGGAAGGCGTGGACCTTAGACAGTTAAAAAAAACCCTTGGACATGTAAAATGTACAATACTTGAACAACAACAACATTGATATTTTAAGGTCTTTTTACAAAGGAAATGCCCACGCCAAATACATATGGTAAATAATATTAAGGTATTATAAAGGTTCTGAGAGTTATTAATATTGGTAAATTATTTAATTCAATTATAAGGAATCTATTACTGAGTCTCGGATAACAATACTCTGAAAAACAATAGAAGTTAGATTGATAGATAGAATAAATTTTCTTTATTAGATGATAAGTGGAGAAAATAAATTTGTTCACGACTCCGGTTATCAAATCCTACGTTTCACGAGAGACGAAATTATTGGCTTTAATCAAATAGGTTTTATAGAATAGTATTAATCAATTCAATGAATCAAATCAATGAAAAAGAAATAGAAGAGACTAAATCAATTACATATCATATGAAGGAAATGAATATTATGAAAAATTTTAAAATGTTGGTAAAAAGAGATTCTATATTTTAAATACTTTATTTTACCAGAATAATTATATCAACTAATATGTCAACTACAATATATTACTGATTTTATAATACGAAATGTCAACTCTGCTTATAGTAAGTAGATGATTATGATTAGAACAAATCAATAATATAATAATAACGATAATGGTAATTAGTTTGAATAAACAAATGTGTTTATTTATATTATAGAATTTAATCTAATAATTTAATTAATTTGAATTGATCAACTCAAAAATGGGCAAGTGGAAACGACGCGGGTAAACAGATTTGATGTTAAATAATAACAGAGTATAAAGGTTCTGGGAGCTATTAATTATTTAATTCTATTACTCTGTAAATTCGAGTTTTTTAGGCAATAATACTATGAGGTATAGTAGAATGGGTTATCTATACTAAAAGTAAGGTGATGAAAAAATGTTATATGTAAATATCGTTCTATATGTACGGATCACGTGCTGATTTTAATATTGTTGATTGGACATATCTAATGTTAAAATTTTTTTTTATTTGCAAATATTATGTTTTATTCTAATATTAAAAATTAAAGTAATAATTCTGTAAATTAAATTTAGGTAAACGCAATAATCAAAATAGAAGATGTAATAAAATACTGCTAAAGAAAATTTTTTTTAAAAAAATAAATTTAATTAAAAACACTAAAAAAGTAAAAATGAAAATATATAAATAATGAAATATACATAACATGTAATAAAAAATCTATTTTTTATAAATAAATCTTCATTTTAAACAAATATTATTATCGCTAATATATATATATATAATGCATTCTGTATGTGCTGTATAATTTCGGTTACTACCGTGAATCCCATCGTATATACTATACAAATTTCGGAAACCCCATTCCTTGGAATGACAATAATAATATTAATAAGAAAGTAATTAAGAAATTGGTGCTGTTTGGACAACTAGAAAAATTCCTAAAGTCGGTCACGTAGAATAATAACAATTGATATAAATAAGTAATTTCCCAGAGTCGTTAAATTAGAATAACAATTGATATAAATAAGGAGGTATTGTCTAGTTTTCCTTTTAAATCTGCATAAAAAAATCTTAAACTTGGCACTCAATAGGTAATGAGATAATATAAATTCATCGATATTTTTTATCATCTTAGCATTTTTTTTTTTTTAATCAAAACGTAAATTCTGATACAAATTTATTTATTAAGAAAAAAATTATATTTACATACTATAAACGAACAGGAAATGCCTAACGTATGCTCGGTATGTAATCAAGAATATGAAATTTGGGAATGGTGTAAATCTTGCAACTCGACACGTTTCAGAAATGATTTCGATAAATGGACAAGTGGAAATGACACAATAGATAAATTTATTCAAGATGTTCAACTAAATGCTGATAGTTATGCAAAAGTAATAGAATGGATACCTTATGATAGATTTCTAGAAATTAAACAAATAGCAAAAGGTGGTTATGGTACAATTTATTATGCTAAATGGGTTGATGGATCTATTGGAAGTTGGATTATTGAAAATCAACAATGGGGAAGATATCGTCAACTTGAAGTTGTATTAAAAAAGTTTGATCGTATTGTGACTATAAATGAAAATTTTTTAAATGAGGTAAAGTAATATTTTTTTTAAAGTATTGTTTTTTGAACATGTGTTTTGGCGCTTTGGTCAGATCAAATATGGTTTTCACATGCTTATGTCCCACCCATTATATTCGAAGGGTGTAACCCTTGATCCTTCCATGCATTTAGTGATATGATAAAAAATTTATAATTCAACCAATAAAATTTGATAAAGTAACCCATAACGCAGTCGTATTCCATATATTAATTATAATAAAAATATATATATGTTATTTAGATGGCAATTCACTTGAGAACAAATGGTGACACATTATCAACTACACTTTATGGAATTACGAAAGATCCAGAAACTCATGAATATATGATGGTTTTAGATTATTTTAAAGGTGGAAGTCTTAGAAATTATTTTTTAAATAATTTTAAGGATATCGCTTGGGATAATAAATTAGAACATTTAGTTTTGTTGGCTTATAAATTTTCAAAAATTCATAAATTTGATATAATTCATTGTGATTTTCATCCTGGAAATATTTTAAAATATTCATTGAGTAACAATTCTGGTGTATATATAGCCGATTTTGGTTTGAGTAAATCAATTAAAGAAAACATAAAAAATCCCAAAAAGAATATCATTTCTGGAGTATTACCCTATATAGCTCCTGAAATATTAAGTGGAGGAGAATATACAAAGGCTGCTGATGTTTATTCATTTGCATTTGTTGTTTATGAGTTGATTACTGGGCTTCCTCCATATCACAATGTGCCGCATGATAAAAATTTAGCTTTTAATATATGTAATGGATTTCGACCAAAGATTCCATTTCGCACACCTAAATTAATTACACAAATGATTATGAGATGTTGGGATGCTCGAGTTACGCATCGACCCACTTTTGACGAATTACATGAAAAATTAAAAAAATACTATTGTGATTATAAAAATTTTGATAATAATAATGAAATTACGATTCAAATTAAAAAAGCTGAAGAATTTTCCAAATATCTAACAATTACAACTCCAACAAATTATAAGACACATCCGCAAGCAATTTATACCAGTAGACTTTTCAGTTTTTCAAATCTTCCAAAACCTAAAAATGAAGTAAATTTTGGAAAAAAACTTGAATTAACCAAATCTTTTTATCAAATAAATGCTAGTAAGTATCAATTAAGATTTTATATGTATTATAATTCATTTTAATTTCATAATTATCTATTTATATTTAACTTATTTTTATTTTATTTTTTTTTTTAATTAGGTGATGATTTTGATACAAATTATATTTAGCATTATCAATCATATTTTATTTACTATTAAATTATAAAGCATTATAGATATTAATTAATACTTAAACTAATTATAGAGTATGAATTTATTATATGAATTTGAATAACTTATTATTTGTAATATATATAAAAAAATCGGGATATTATAAAAAAAAAATCTTAATTACAAACTGAGAGCGTTTTAATAAATTTTATAGAAATTTCTAGCTTTAGTTGACTAAGCCAACTAAAACTTATTTTAATTTTTTAAATCATTTTAATGGTCGAACCAAATATATTTCGAACACTAATAGATTTTTGATATGACGTTCTTCTCTTAAATAGGAAATGTTACATTTTTTTTTAAAAAAAAGAGAATAAAGAATATTTATTATAACTCATTTATCTGTTCTGTTATACAATATAAGTATAAATAATATAAAGTGTGATTACTTTTGTCCATAAACTTTCAAGGCCCCATTATTGTAACCACTTTTGATATTTGTATTCATTTAATTTTTTTTTCATATTAAATAAAAATTACTAATTTTATTTTTGGTTCTTGTTTCATTCTCATTTGAATTTTCTTTCATCATTAACCTTCTTCTTAATAACAAAATTAAATTTATGATATGTTCGATACAATTTTCTGATCTGCACAGTTTCGATAATTTTATAGGAGAAAAAGCAATTCAAATTTTTCACTTCAATAAAAACGATATGGTCAATTTGAAGAGATATTAAAAATGTTTGATAGTATTGTAGAAATAAGTGAAGATTTTTTAAATGAGGTAAAGTAATATTTTTAATTAATACGAAAATTATTTGAAAATATATAATAAATTAATTAGAATTTAAAAAAAAATGTATCATTTGAATGGAAATTCATTTGAAAAAAAAAATGGTAGTGAAACATTATCAACTATATTTTATGGAATTACAAAAGATCCAGAAACTCACAAATATATTATGATAATTAGAATATTTTAATGGTGGTATATCAATTGGTTCGATAAATTATATTAAAAGATTTAGCTGAAGAATTTTCTGCAATTCATGAATCATAGTTCATCGTGATTTTCAACCTGGAATATTTTAAAATATAAACGTCATTCTAGTATATGTATAACCCTATATAACTCCCCTCCCGAAGTATTAAGTAAGGAAGAATATACAAAGACTGCTGATGTTTATTCATTTGTATTTGTTGATTATTGATAATTACTGGAATCCCTCCATATCACGATTTACCACATGATAAAGAATTTGGCTTTTAATATATGTAATGGATTTCGACCAAAAATTCCATTTCACACACCTAAATTAATTACACGAATGATTACGCGATGTTGGGATGCCCGAATTACACATTGACCTACTTTTGAAAAATTATATGAAGAGTTGAGGAAATATTGGAAGGATTATATGAAAAATGATTTTGACAAATGGCAATAAAATTACAATTCAAATTGAAGAAGCTGACGAATTTTCCGAAAATCAAATAACTGATATAACAACAACTCCATCAAATTATAAAGCACATCCGCAAGCGATTTATACCAGTAGACTTCTTAATTTTTAAAATATTCCAAAACCTAAAAATGATCAAATAAATGTTAATAAGTATAAATTATATTTATATTTATATTATATTCATTTTTCGTTTATTTATATTTAATTAATTTAATTTTATTTTTTAATTGAACTATGATGATGATGAACTGGATATATCTAATTTATAAATTTTATTTAAAATCTTAACACCAAGTATAGTGAAATAACTTAAGATTTTTTTATTAAATAAAAATTTCAATTTTTTTACACGATACAAATAACGGATGCACTTTAAAAAATTTTATAGTAAATTTTTAGTTTTAGTCGACTAAGAAAATTAAGCTTAATTAATAGTCGAGCCAAATATATTTCGAACACTATTTGCATTTTCGACATTCTTCTTTTGAATTCTTACAGTAAATAGGAAAGGCTTACATTCTTTCCTAAAAGGAATAAAGAATAATTCGATCATTTATATGTTATACAGTAGTAAAGTTTAGACAGTAATTAACACTCTTCTTAACAAATACAAATTAATTGATTTTCAATAAAAATAATATTAATAATATTGAATCGGTTTCATCAATATTAAATAAATTATTTTATTATCTAACAGATAAATTCAAATGAAGATTATTATGTAAGAAATTTAATCTCATATTAACCGTTATCATTATCATCATTAATATATTCTTCGTTATCAAATATCAATATCAATATCATTAATATATTTTATCATCATCAAAAAAATAATAACTAGGCAAAATTATTGCCATTACAATTACAATTATTGTTGTTATTATTAGATCTCTTCTTCTTCTTGTATCTTCGATACAATATGTTAATATATACTTATCAAATTAAAATAAACTTTTTAAACTTTTTAAAATATTTAATGCTTACGCTAAAACTAAAATATATATACGCTTTTCTTCGATACTATCTTGGATTTAATATCTTCAGTAATCGTGCTAAAATATATAAACAGTATTTTATAAAAAATAAAAATAGATATTAGATGATATTGCGAATTTCAATTGTTATTATTATTGTTATTATTATTGTCATTATTATAAATTTCACAAAATAGAAATAGAAAAATAGAAATATTAATTAAAATTCCTATAACTATATACTATTTAATATACTATCTTCTTTGCTTGCATTTTGATATTATTCTTTCATAAATTTTCGTTAGAAACATTAAAGATAGGTGACAAATTGGGTCATATTTCTCGTGATTCTCATTATTCTCATTATTCTCATTTTTAAATTGAAAATTTTTAAAATTTGATTCCCTTTAAATTTTACTGTTAATTTACACATTATAATTTTTCGATAAAAGATTTTATTACATCAGTATTAACTGTAACAGAAAATAAATAAATAATTAAGGTAAATGCTATATAAAGTAAATAATTGATTAATTGAGAATTACCTTTTCATTTTTTGATGATTTGATAAATTAAAAAAAAATCTATCCTAATAAACTTTTTTTGATTCTTTTAAGAAATAATTCTATTAGATAAAGAAAAAAATAAATAAATTTATTATTATTTAGAAACTGATTCAATTACATAAACAGAAAATGAAATGAATATTTAAGAAAATTAGAATTTTGACAAAAGAGATGAGATAATGCTATATTTTTAAAGATTAATTTTTACTGCTATGATAAAAGATAATAATAATATAGTAATCAACACAAATATCTCTAATTTAACCGGAACAATATTAACATGAAACTTAATTTATGATATTATGCCAAAATAATTTATTTTTTTAGAAAATAAGTTGATTATTCAATAATGAAATAGATTTTCATTAAAATGTAATTATTCTATTATAAACTATTGATGATCGAAACACCAAAGTAGCGTGACGCAAAGTTTAAATTTTTTGACCAATCATAGTAAACATAATTATCAATCTTTTTTCCGAGAAATTTTATTTAGCATTTACAACCCTCTCTCTTGTCAAATTTAATATTATATAGTAATCAAAAATAGCAGAAACAGTACAATTTAACCTCAAATAAATGATACCTGAACTCAAGGATCTGGAAAAGAAGGTATATTTGCGAAGATACATTATAAAATTCTCAGAATTTCAACACATTTCTAATTCCAATTGTTGAGTTATTAACAAATTATCAATGTGTATATATGTGTGCATATATATTTAGAAAGAAAATAAAAAAATATAAAAAAAAATATCAAATTTTGAATATCCATTGAAAAGAAGACCAACTCAAGTAAAAGATTTTTTAAAATATATTGAATATAAAATTAATTTGGAGAAATTAACGTAAAAAGAGAAAGGATCGTTTAGGTAAATTATATTATTACAATTTTAAAATATATGTATTTTAAATTGGTAATTTATTTAATTTATTATTATTAATTATGAATCATTTTGTAAAGACATAAAAGGAAAAGCTACGATATCCGATGCCATCAAAAAATTAGTGACGACATTTACTTATGGCATCATTATATAAAATTTATGGATCATCGGGAGCGGAAAAATTATTAAGTGAAAAATATTGAGAAATATAATAAATATACTTCTATTTGTGATGATATAATTTAATAGAGCAATTCAATATGCCAACGTTTTATGCTCGCAACGTGGAAATTTGAGACGAAAGGCAATATTATGTCAGCGAGAGCTATATTTCTACATCATGAGATTCTTAGATTATTTTAATAATAATAATTATATAACTTTTATATATATAATTAGCATCGATGCAACGAGGTTACAGATGATTCCTACTTCAGTTGAACTTTGAAAGGAATATTTAAATTGGAGTTATCATATGTTAATAATATTAAAGCTCATTTGATCTAATAAAGAAGAGGTCTAGACAAAACCTAATAATATGAACGATTCGATGATAAACAGAATAATAATTATTCTCAATCAGATAATGAAATAATTCCGATAATTATTGACGAAGAAAGTGATAGTAATCATAATAATAATCATAATAATAACAATGACGATGACGATATGTTGATGTTGATGCTGATGATGACGTTTGATGACAATGGTGATGGTGATGGTGATGTTGATGATGATGGTGAGGATAATGGAACAAACAATAAATTGATGCAAGGAAATCATTGCGAAGATTGTATTCTCAAATTCTATTAAGGGTAAGAATATATATTTTTGTGCATTCATTTAAATTAGGCATAATTAATCACATTAATATTTTTTTCAAAGCTATTCCAAATGATTTAAGTTTTCGAAAAGATTTTATTGATATTTGCCGTCAATATTCTGATACTCTTTAATTGTTGATTATATTTATCAAAGGTAAATTGGCGACTTAATTTATAAAATTATTTATCTTGACAACAATTTATATAAATATGTATTCATCATTATTATTATTTTGTATAGTATCGCAAAAGACTTTAGAAATGATATAGAACCCAGATCATTTTTTGGTCTTGATGTAAATAGTCTTGAGTACATTACTGCTATAAAAAGGACTGTCGAATAATATCGGGAAAGCGTTGAGTTGGGTGACAAAAAAAGACTATTATTTTCGTTTACCGAGTTTCGCGGATGTTAAATGCAACATTGGTAATTATATTATTCACTTATGTGATTTGATAATTATTATTTTTTATTATTATTATTTATTATTATTATTATTTTTATTATTATTTTTTATTATTATTATTTTTTATTATTATTATTTTTTATTATTTTTATTTTTATTATTATTTATTACTATTATTTTTTTTAATTATTATTTCTTTCCTTTCTTTGTTGACAGTGAAATCATTTGGCAAGACTATTATCAAAGACCTATGTTAGAGCATTTCATACAAATATGGCCTCACCATAAATGTTACGCGAGTGAATTGACCGGATTTAGTAGGGGATGAGTCTGAAGAATCACGAGTTGATTCATTGTGGTTAAGAAGAATTAATTTCAATAGGAATGTTCGAGATAATCCACTAGAACAAGTATATAAATTGGCTTTAAATCATAAATCCCACTCCCCAAGATTTATGGAATTCATATGTCTCGTTCTCTTGGATTTTATAAAAGTGGGAGATTAACGAATTTAAAAACAAAAATGGAAGCAATTTTTTCGGTTAGTTTTATGCCATCGATCACATTAATTGTATTTGAATTTTTTTTTAAAAAATATTTACTTTTAATCAATTTACTCACTCTTTCTCAAATATAGATTTATTTATCAATAGAATGCTGCCTTGAAGGTTGCTTCCATGCATTTGAACGAAGAGGCGGAAAATATTAAAGATTTAATTGTGACCCAACATATAAATTAGGCACACGCGATAGGGTTTGGAAAAGACTCGCTAGGTCTACAGAGAGTATACTTAAATTTATCAATTCATTTCATAATTATAACTTTTTTCATTTACTTACACATTTATATTCTTTATCGTATCATTTAATATAATATAGCCCTGTCGAAAATGATTCTCTTTTGTCCTTCTACCAAGCCTTCATCATAATCTAAAAACAAGATGTAAGGATATCGAAAGATACAAACTTTCAAATTCCGAAGATGTCAAAGTGCATTTAGAATGGCTTTACGTCAATTTCAAAAGGCATCTATCGGTATAGTTTAAATTTCAATTTAGATAGATAGATAGAGATATATATTATATTGATTATTTATATTAATTAATTATTTAATTTTTATTTTAATAATTGTGGATAGATTATACACAATGGATTTCTTTCAAGGGGCAGCGAAGATTTTATCTTTATTCTTTTTATATTTACAATGTAATTTTATGGTTATAATTTATGAATAAAGAGGAGACTCCGTTAATTATTTAAAACAAAAGTGGATAAATTACATACAATATATATTTCTATAATCGAAAATGGAAATCGAGCGGCCGTTTTATACGAACGGTCCTTGGAAGTTGTATCAGATCCGGAAGAACTTTTAAAGAAGGAAGTTTTGTGAATTAACATTATCACCACCATCATGATTGGATTTTGGACAAAAAAATTATAATAAACAATTTTTCAAAAGTTACATTCCAATGAAAGCTATATCAAATGTAATTCGAATCTTAGTAATTATCGTTATTTTCTTAGCGATTAATTATCAACAATAAAACATCTTACATAGTTGAATAAGATTTTTTATAAATGATGTAAAAGGTAATTTTCTTTGACCTTGGAGATAGTATTTATATATCAATCGGCTACATTACCGAAACTTAGCAACTTTAGGAGTTTTCCAGGTATAACATCGAAATTAAAATTTTACTTTAAATTCATGTGCATTTGTTACACACTTTGATTAAAAATACGCGACAAATAATTTATCTTCCTTATTCAATATATATTAAAAAAATAAAAAACGGTTCTTTATGAATTAAGAATGTTAATTTTATCAGGGTTAATATTCTTGAAGGATTACCATTTCCAGGGTATGGCTAAAGCAATTACCCGAAATTAATTAATGCTAGAGCAAGGGCTAGGATTTAAGCAGATATTATATGTAAAATTTCCTCCCTGACACTTTTATTAATGCATTAAGATATGTTTAGACGTCTGTTTCTTGTATTTTATTCGTGTTTTTCACTTTTTTGCTTCGTCGGGATGGTCCGTATAAACAAACGACCTCCATTTCCAGATAATTCTTTCGATTTTGTATTCCAACGCCAACGTTTTTCTTTTGGTTGGCCTTTTTGTAATGAATGAATTGACTAGAGTTTTAAAATTGGGAGGATATTTAGAGGTAAAAATGCTATAATTTTATTATTTTATATTATCCATTCGATCGATAGACTTTGATGCTGATAAATTATTATTATATTATTGTTACGTATTTAGGAAACATAAAAATACAATATCTTTTTTAGTTTGTTGTACCATTACGTTTTTAACGCAACGTTAACAGCCTTGATCAAATAATTTCCAATTTGTAATCTTATTTTGAATCTTAAAAATCAATTTGAAAATATCAACATTTATAGAAAACCCATTTATACGGTAGGTGCAGGTACTGGCAAATTTGGTCAAGTGGTAATAAAAATTCATATTAGATTTTATATATATATATTATTTTTATTTATTTTTATTTTTTTTTTTTATTTTAATACAATTCTTTGACGTTATTATTACTGTTTTAGGGCAGAAAAATGTAAGGAGAACTATTAGTGAACATGATGAAAAAACATCGATAAAGAAATCATCAAGAAAAGAACTACTATAAAAATAAGTCACTGAAGTATTACATTTTGTTTATGTAATATATTAAATTGAGAATTCAATATTACTTCCTTTACTTACCTCTCTCGAACCTTTTTTTGATTCAAATCAATATCCTACAATATCAGACGTAAAAAATGAAATGGTTTGCATCTTAATACGGTAATACGATTATGTTACTATTAATAACAAAGTCATCATTGAAACAACAAACTTGACTTGTTAGAAAAACTTATCATACATCAAATTCATCCAATTAATTATTATTATTATTTGTAGACGTTGAATTAATTAAGACATTCTATTCCAATTGTACCATAATCACAAAAAAATCTTCTGCTTTTATTTATTTCAGTATAATTTGAATTTCATTTCTAGGACATGATCAAGTTAAATTCTTAATAATTTTTTACCATTTTTTGATCGATAACATTAAATAATTAAAATCAATTAAATTTAAAAATAACGATGATTTTATAAGCGTTAATATATTCAATAATTACATAAAATTACGTAAATTGCAGATGCATACAATCTTTATGAAAAAAATAAAACCAACAAAGTTATTCTAACAAAATTTTTTTACTAAATTTAATAAATTCTATTAGGTTGGCTTCTTGAACTTTGGATTTTTCAAGGCTGCTAATTTAAAATACTCATTTCCTTTTTTTTCATCTTTTTTCACTCCTAATTTTCCATTAAAATAAATTTCACTTAGGTTATAAAGAGCATTTCCATTTCCTCCATCGGCGGCTTCATTCATATATTTTAAAATAATTTCATAATTTTCTGAGCTCCCATTAAGATCCATTAATCCTTTTGCATATCGAAATTGTGCATCAAGAACACCATCATCTGCTGCCGACTTTAACAATTCTAAACCTTCCTTTACATCTTTTTTTCCATAAAGTCCTTTCAAAAGATAATAACCTTTCCAATATTTTGCCAAGCTAAGTCCTAAATCAGCATGTTCATTAAAATATTCCCAAGCTTCCTTGTATTGCTTCATTTTATGTGCTTTAATTCCATCCTCGAATGGTTTGATAATTGAAAATGTTGGTACGCCAGGGTCGCATTCATCCCAATCAGGCAATTTTTGGGGATCAATATCATAATGAGGAGAGATATTTTCAGAATCTGGAATATCATCGTGGGTTTCGTTTTTAGGATAAATCCTTGGGGAGTTTAGTTGAACACTTCTTTCTAAATTACTGATTAGCGCTAAAATTTCGGGATATGATATACGTAATCCTGGATCATCATCCCATGCTATATTTAAAATCATAAAAATAAAATATTAAATATATACTGTAAATTGTGATATATATTAAATGTATTATTTATTACTTTGTTTAATAAGTTCGGTGAGTCCTAGTAAAAATCGGATCTGAATTAAGTCGAGGTAAAATTTCTCTTTTCTTGCTTTTAACATGTTCTTGTACTTCGTCAAAAGACATATCTTTGTATGGAATCTTTTCATTAATGAGTTCCCAAACTAGCATCCCACAACTAAGTTTTTTAAATTACAAAAAATTTTATTAAATATGTACTAAATATATCAAAAAAAAAAATGAAAAGAAAAGAATTACCTAAATATTTCGCACTTATGGTCATATCGGTAATCAAAATTACACATTTTTTCAGGTGCTAACCAACGCACGTAATCCTTTAAACCTGGAATTGTCGTGGATATTCCGTCAATTTGGCGTGACATTTCAAAATTTGATATTTTTACATCAAGAAAAGGAATTTCAGTGACCTATTATTTGAATATGAATTTAAATAGATTATTAAATCAAATTGGTTTCTTAAAGTAATATATATTACATCTACATACCAAAATGTTCTCACATCGGACATCATGATGAAGAACTCCACTGTTAAATATAAAATAAAGACCTTTGAATATATTCGAAATAAATTGTAACTTCGTAGGTAAGGGAATTGAACTTTTTTCATAAACTTCTTTCAGACTTCCATGTTCTGCCCATTCAAAAACCATGTAATCAATTTGATTTATCTTTGAAAGACCATAAAAAGTAATAATATTAGGACATTTTCCTAATAAATCGAGGATAACCAACTGTGTCTGTATATTCCGAGATCCAGCTACCAAATTTTTCCCAATAGCTTGAACTTTTTTGCATGCCACTTGCAATGTTTCACGGTAAATTCTTTTTACAATGGTTCTTTCAGATCCTCTTACATTGCCTGGTTTGGTTTTTGGATCTGTAAGTTCGGACGATTTTACACAAGGAACTTTAATTTCGCCAGGATTTAATTTATGCGAGTTTAATTGTTCCGATAAAATATTTATCTGTTGCGAAATATTTTTCATTCCATCTGTAAATTCGATCGAAAATATTTTTCATTCCATCTGTAAGTTCGCTCGTTGTCTATTTGATGATTTGATAGATACTTTAGTTAAAATAATACATACAAAAGAAAAAACTAAAATAATGAATTTAATAATAATATTTACCCGTGCCAATAAATTAAGTTCATTTAATATTTGCTCATTCTCTTGCTCTCTTTCCTCTACCGAAATCATAAAAACTGCAAAGTGCAAATCTTTGCAAACATCTTCAAATTCTTTAATATTTTTATCATATGCTTCTTTAACGGCATTAGCATTTAAATGTTTTCGAATCATTGATTGTTGTGTTACATCTTCAGCAAAATCTTTAATATTTTTTAGTACATTGGTAAATCTTACCCACGCATGATAATATTTTTCGTCAGAAAATTTTTTTGCATTCTTTTGCTTTTTACGTCTTAAAGACTTAGTAGAATGTTCAGCAACCTCAATACGATCTATTAAAGCTTCGCATATTCTTTTATTTTGTTTTGCATTTTCATAAATAGTATACAAACTCTTCACGACTTGATCAACGATACCGAATAAAGGCTCAAATGGTTCAATGGCTATCGATATTGCATTGCCGGCATGACCGAGCGCCGATTCGCGAGTGCTAGGCAAGGTATAGTCACCAGTAAAATGCACCCCGTCGGATTCATTTTTTTTATCTTTTTTAGGCATATTTGATGATTCACAAAATATAAAAAATATTAATTACTATCGTTTACCATCATACTAAAAATTAAAATTAAGACTCCTTCAACGAAAATATTCTTCTTTGATATTATTCTTTCTATAAATTTTCGTTAAAAATACTAAAAAAAAATAGATGACAAATTTGAGTCACATTTCTCGTTATTCTCATTCTCATTGTAAACTGAAATTTTTTAAAAGTTGGTTTCCTGTAATTTACACATTATAATTTTTTCGGTAAAAAATTTTATTGCATCAGTATTAACTGTAAAAGAAAAAAAAATAATTAAGATAAATGCTGTATAAGATAAATAATTAATTAATTGAAAATACTGTACCTTTTCACTTTTGATGATTTGATATAAATTAAAAAAAATTCCTTTAATAAATAATTTTATTAAATAAGAAAAAATAAGAAAAAATAATAATCATAAATAGATTATTATTTTTATTTTTTTTTTATTATAAAATATTTCCATCACGAAAAAGCAAAGATTATCGAACTACTATAAAATAAATTACTAAAGATTACGTTTTGTTTTTATATTAAATTGAGAATTCAATATTATTTCCTCTCTCGAACCATTTTTAATTCAAATCAATATCCTACAATATCAGGTGTAAAAAATGAAATGGTTTACATCTTAATACACTAATACAATTATGTTATTATTAATAACCAAGTCATATCGAAACAACAACATACTTGACTTGTTAGAAACTTACCATGCATCAAATTCATTCTCGAAATTATTATTATTATTTGTTGACGTCGAATTAAATAAGACATTCTATTCCAACTGTACAATAATCACAAAAAAAAAAACTTCTGCTTTTATATATTTCGAGATACCCACTCAATAGGACATTCATTTCTAGGACATGATCAAATTAAATTCTTACCATTTTTTGATCGATAACATTAAATAATTAAAAAGATTAATTAAAATTAAAAATAACGATGATTTTATAAGCGTTATAATTACATAAAATTACATAACAGATAAATTGCAGATGTGTGCAATCTTTATGAAAGCAATATTTTTTTACTAAATTTAATAAATCCTATTGGGTTGGCTTCTTTAACTTTGGATTTAACAAGGCTGCTAATTTAAAATATTCATTTCCTTTTTTTTCATCTTTTCCACTCCAAATTTTCCATGAAGATAAATATCACTTAGATTATAAAGAGCCTTTCCACTTCCTCCATCGGCAGCAACTTTCATATATTTTAAAATGATATCATAATTTTCTGAACTACCATTACTTATATTAACCCTTTTGCATATCGAAGTTGTGCATCAAGAACGCCATCATCTACTGCCATCTTCATCCATTTTAAACCTTCCTTTACATTCTTTTTTACATGAGATATCCTTTACATTCTTTTTTACATGAGATATCCTTTCACAAGATAATACCCTTTCCAATATCTTGCTAAGCTAAGTCCTAAATCAGCATGCTCATTAAAATATTCCCAAGCTTCCTTGTATTGCTTCTTTTTATGTGCTTTAATTCCATCTTCGAATGGTGTGATAATTGGAAATGTTGGTACAGGTAATTGTTCCGATAGAATATTTATCTGTTGCGAAATATTTTTCATTCCATCTGTAAATTCGCTCGTTGCCCATTTATAATTTAATAGATGCATTAATTAAAATAATACAAAAGAAAAAACTAAAATAATGAATTTAATAATAACGGTTACCTGTGCTAGCAAATTAAGTTCTGTTAATATTTGCGCATTCTCTTGCTCTCTTTCCTCTACCGAAATCATAAAAACTTGATAATTGCAGATCTCGACAAGCAATCTTCAAATTCTTTAATATTTTTATCATATGCTTCTTTAACGGCATTAGCATTTAAATATTTTCGAATCACCGATTGTTGTATTACATCTTCAGCAAAGTCTTTAATATTTTTCAGTACATTGGTAAATCTTACCCACGCACGATAATATTCTTCACCGAGAAATTTTGCTGCATTTTCTTGCCTTTTACGTTTTAAAGACTTAGCAGACTGTTCAGCAACCTCAATACGATTTATTAAAGCTCTGCACATTTTTTTATTGCATTTTGCATTATCATAAATAGTGTACAAACTCTTCACGACTTGATCAAAGATAACGAATAAAGGCTCAAAGGCTATCGATATTTCACTAGGATTTAATTTATGCGAGTTTAATTGTTCTGATAAATATTTATCTGTTGCGAAATATTTTTCATTCCATCTGTAAATTCGTTGTCTATTTTATGATTTAATAGATACTTTAATTAAAATAATACAAAATAAAAAACCAAAATAATGAATTTAGTAATAATATTTACCCGTGCTAGAAAATTAAGTTCGCGCTCATTCTCTTGCTCTCTTTCCTCTACTGAAATCATAAAAATGAAAATTGCAAATCTTTGCAAACAGCATCAAATTCTTCAATATTTTTATCATATGCTTCTTTAACGGCATTAGCATTTAAATATTTTCGAAACATTGACAGTTGTGTTACATCTTCAGCAAAGTCTTTAATATTTTTCAGTACATTGGTAAATATTACCCAAGCACGATAATATTTTTCGTCGGAAAATTTTTCTGCATTCTCTTGCTTTTTACGTCTTAAAGACTTAGTAGAGTGTTCAGCAACCTCAATACGATCTATCAAAGCTCCACACACCCCTTAATTGTATTTTGCATTTTCATAAATAGTATACAAACTCTTCATGACTAGATAAACGATACAGAATAACGGATCAAAATTTTCATCGCTGATATTTCCGACGTGACCGCGCATTGATTCGCTAGTATAATCACCAACAAAATGATTAATGATTGAGAAGAACAAGTATTTAGTATTAAATTATCTTGAAACATTATTAGTAATCAAAATACTTACTTTCTATAATATATATGAATAGTATGAATAATGGTATTAATGTGAATTAGTAATAAATTTTGATTTAAATAATTAAATTACTCACTCTATTAATCCATCAAGTGTTTCAACATGTTCAAGATCTTGTATAACTTTCTCAATATTTGGGCGTTGATTAGGGTCTTGATTCCAACAATCTATTGAAATATGTAATTGAAATAAATAATTTATAATACATTAATTAATTGTTTTGCGATAAAAACAAACCTTGGTAGATCTTAACATAATTTTGGGGTGTTCCTTGGATTGGATTTTATCGATTTCCCTGAATAATATAAGAAACAAGATCCAATTCATCTATTACTTTTAATTCTTTTAATTTATCTATTATTTTTTTTCCTTTTTTTTTCATTTTGTAATTGATTTACATGAATCATATGGAATTTTTCCGCTTGAGATTTCCCACAGTAAAATTCCAACACTATATATGCCAGATTCCTTAGTTCTGCTAAATTTTCCCTCTACTTCAAGAATCATTGGATCTGAGTACTCGATTATTCCCATAGAATTTAATAAATTGATTGAAGGTTCAATAACAATCTTGGATACACCAAAATTACTAATCTTAATAGTATCTTATAGATAAGAATATTTTCCAAATTCTATAAAATAGAATTATATTAGAATTAAATGAAATAATATTCATCATGAAACATCCAAATATTAAACAATTACCAAATCTCCATGAATGATATCAGATGAATGAAAATGTTCAATTGCTTTAGCGACTTGTTTAGCAAGTTTAAATTTGTCGAGCCATTCAAGTTTTTTAAAATTGGATTACAAATAATTGCGTAATGTTTTTCCATTTGAATATTCTAATACAAGTATAAAATTGCTACTATTCAAATCTATATCAAAATATATATAATTAAAATTTAATGCATTTTCGTTAAAAAAAATATTTATTGATTATTTTAATTTCAATTTTTACCTTTTTGTGAAATTCCATGATATTTCATGTATACGAACATTTAAATGTTTATTAAGCTGAAAGTGCAATAAAATGTATATTCAATTTATAATAAATTTAATACTGTAAATTCGAGTTTTATAGTATAATATCTTAATTGGAACAGTATTTACCTCATTAACAAATAGCTCCATAGAATTAACGGCGATAGATTTTAAAGTCACTTCCATTTTACCATTCATTAGTGTAGCATTGTGAATGCTTTCACTAATTTCTTCAAAATTTTCAAAAAAATTATAACCATATTTTTTAAGTTCATTATTGAGCCAGTTTTGGTCGTAAGAATTAAGAGAAAGAGTTGGTTCTCCGGGCTTTCATAGAACTGAAAAGATTGGAATATAATAGATAACAATAACATATTAAATCATATTTCTATAAAATCAATAATTAACTATTAAAGCTAGTATAAAGTGATTTATATTTATCAATATCAAAGAAATACCTGCAATTTCTAAATTTGCTAAGCTAATTGACATTGAAATATATCTCTATTGTAAGTTTGATTGTTATCATAACCTTCTATTTGGATATGTTGATTATTTTCGTTAGAACTATTATATATGTTCTCTAATTGAATATCTTTAATAAGAGAATCACGAATTTCTTCTATAGTTGGTCTTTGCTCTGGATTATCTTTCCATGCATTTGAATAGATTTTGATATAACCCTCTGGTATTCCATTAATGGGTGTTTCTCTTTTACCATACATTACTATTGAAGTTATTTCTAAATCTGGAGGTCTTCCACTTGATATCTCCCAAAAAAAACCCCCAAGCTATAAATATCAGAAGCTTTGCTTCTTTATATGTTATCGGATTTCGCAAATATTTAGGATCCGAGTACGCAAGCATTCCTCCCATGAAGGAATTAGAATTGACACCTAATGGTTTAGATAGGCCGAAATCTGTAATTAACAATTTTCCTTAATGAACTAGAACATTCTTTGAATGCTATTAAAAAAAAAAATTTAGATATGAAATTATATAATTTATAAATTTAAAATGCACTGGTGCCTATCACGCAATGAAATTTAGCCAATAAAAATATGCAGATTTTAATTACAAAAAAAAAATTCAAAAAAAAAGATATAATAAACTTCGTTTTTAAAAATGTTTGAAACTTTCAATTTTGACTATAAAATCTCCTCGCAAAATTTTCATACAAATCTGGTTTTTAACCCAATATCGATCATTATGATATGACATGTTTTAAAATTTCAATACACTTACTAAATCTCGATGGACTATATTTTCTTCATGCATATAACATAAACCATTTGTTATATCTTGAGCCATATTAATTTTGGTTTTCCAATCAAGATCTTCAAAGTTATTTTGTAAATAGGTTCTTAAAGTATCATCTTTGGCATACTGTAACACTAGGTAACATTTCTCGGTCGAATGATCTAAATTAAATAATAAAAAAATAATTATTTAATCGAATATTGTATAACAAAATCAAAATTCAATAAATAACATTTAAATAAAGATTTATTTTACCTATACTGACTCCATAATATTTAATAATATTTTCGTGGTTATTTACTGCATTAATATTTCACAACTAATAGTTTAAAAAGCAAACGCATTTAATTTCTTCTCAAAAATATTCTTAATTAATGTAAACAAATATTTATTTACCTCATTCATAAATACTTTATAAAAATTATTTCTATTTTCATTATGCAAATATTTCAATGCAACATATTTTTTTAACTCTTTCGAATAGGCACGATTGACTGCACCAAATCCTCCCTTGCAATTAGTTCTATATCTCCAAACATTTCATAATCAATTTTAAAATATTTGGATCTTCCGCAATTCGAGTTAAATCCGAGAAAGACATCTTTTTCGTATATAAAAAAAAGAAATTCACAAGACTATTATCTAATATAGAAATTGGAAACGTTACTTCAAATCCTAAAGAAATTGACAAAAAAAAAAACTCAATTTCCTTATATGAGCTAATTAAAGTAAATGAAGTAATATAAGGAAATTTTTATTTAGTTTTTTTTTTTTTGTAATATTCGATGTCGAAAGGTCATTATCCGACTTAGTCGTCCGATGTTTATTTTTTATTAAAAAATTGCAAATTAGCATTATTTTTATTATTTATTTTTATTTATTTTATTATTTTTATTTATTAATTTTATTATTTTTATTATTTATTTTTATTGTTTTTATTGCCTTTCTGAAAAAACAATTTGATTTTATAAACACAGAAATATAATGTGAATAATCTTTTTACCTTTTAACCTTGTTTTTTGTTAAACGGAAGCGTCTTAAATATCATTTCCGACTTCTTTCTTTCGTGAAAATTCTGCAAAATCGCATTTAATAAATTTTATGGACTACGTCTTCTCCCAAATATGATAGGAAAGTTGCATTCTTTTTCCGAAAAGGAGCAAATAGTAAAGATTTATTAATTCTTCGATCTATACAAAAGATTATTAGTAAAAATATTTATAATATATATCTATTAAATATTTTTTCTTTGCTGTCATAAGGAAATTCTCAAGTGAATTATACACTAGATATAATATGTTAAATAATGAAAGAGTACTGTAACAGTATAAAGATCCAGGTAGCTATTCATATTGGTATGTATTCTAATATACTGTAATTATAGGCAAGCTATTGATAGATATCTAATCTGAGTATTACCATTATTATTTAAATTTTTAAATATATTTATAGAAGAGACTGATTCAATTACATAAAAAAAAATGAAATGAATATTTAAGAAAATTAGAAATGTTGATAAATGAGATGATGCTATGTTTTTAAAGATTAATTTTTTACTGCTATGGTAAAAGATAGGAATCAACATAAATATCTCTAATTTAACCAGAAAAATATTAGCATGAAACTTAATTTATGATTTTTTTATGAGATTATACCAAAATAATTTATAATTTAGATTACTCAATAATGAGAAATAATATCAAAAACAATTTTTATCAAAATGTGGTTTCGATAATGGATTTTTTGATTATTGGAATATTGAAGAATTCCACTTAATAATTTATAAAAAATGGAATAATCAATTTTAATTTCGAACTTTGAACTATGGAATTATGTACCTTAATTGTGTTCTAGTTAGGCAGCAGCGTGACACGAGTGACAAACCTCTTGTCAAATTTAATATTAAATAGTAATCAAAAATGGCAGAAACAGTACAATTTAACCTCGCACAAACGATACCTGAACTAAAAGATTTGGAAAAGAAGTGTATATTTGCGAAGTATTGTACATTATAAAATTCTTAGAATTTCAACACATTTCTAATTCCAAATGTTAGGTTATTAATAAATTATAAAAAGTGCGTATATATATTTTAAAGAAATAAAAATATAAAAAACGATCGAATTTTAAATACGCATTGAGAACAAGACCAACTCAAGTAAATGATTTTTTTGGAATGTATTGAATATGAAATGAATTTATAGAAATTACGTGAAAAGAGAAAGTATCGTTTAGGTAATTATATTATAAAAGTAAGAATTTAGTTGCAATTTTAAAATTTTACTTTTAATTTTTAATATTTTGTAAAGGCATAAAAGGAAAAGCAACGATATCGGATTATATCATTATCTGAAGAATTTATTACATTCATGATCGTGCCATTTAAAAATTTAGTGACTACACTTTCTTATAGCATCATTCAGTTTATAAATTTTCGGATCATCGGGAACTGGAAAATTATTAAGTAAAATATTTGGAAGGTAAATATTGAAAATTTTGTGAGATATTATAATAATCATACTTAAATATAATTCTATTCGTGATGATATCATTTAATGAAAATAATTTAATATTTTTAATCGTTATTTTAATAAAATAAATATTATACAGCAATTCAAGCAGAAAAGTGGGAATTTGAAAACGAATGGCGAGGGTATCTTTGAATATTATGTGTTTCTTAGATCATTGATTCTTAGGTTATTTATTTATTTTAATATAATTAGCATTGATGCGACGAAGTTTACGGATGATTTCCAATTCGGTTTGAACTTTGGAAGGAATATTTTAAATTAGAGTTGTCATATGTTAATGAGATTAAAGCTCGCTGTACAAGAATTTCAATAAAAGAAAAGAAAGAAGAGGTTGAGACGGAACCTAATAATATGGGTGATTTGATGATAGAAGAGAATAAAAATTATTTTCAATCGATGATGAAATAATTATTGAAGAAAGTAATAGCAATCATAATCATAATAATAATCTTAATAATAATGACGATGATGATAATGATGATTGTGATGATGATGATGACGATGATGGAATGTGCAATAAATTGATGCAAGGAATAAGCTAAGAATATATATATATATTGTGTATTCATTTAAAATTAAGCACTATTACTCACATTAATATTATTTTGTATAGTATTGTAAAAGACTTTAGAAATGATATAGAAGTCAGATCAATTTTTGTTGAAAGATACATTTTGTCTTGATGTAAATAGTCATGAATACATTATGCTTTAAAAGAACTGTTAAAGAATATCTATGAGTTGGGCAGCAAAGAACTATTATATTTGTTTACAGAGTTTCTCGGACGATCAATGCACAAACCTCCACAAGAAACACCAGTAATTATATTATTTAACCCATGCGGTTTGATCAAATTTTATTATTATTGTTATATTATTCAATTTTCCCTCTTTTTTTATTGACAGTAAAATTATTTGAAAGACTGTTAACAGATATCTACACTAGAGCACAATGATGTCCTCATCACAAACGCGGATTGACTGGATTTTAGAAGGGGATGAATCTGAAGAATCAAAATTTGAGAAGAAACAATCCTAAAAGCGACAGAACTTTTCCCTCATAGTTGGGGATGAGGTGGTTCTCTGGTCCGCCGGACCTGAGGACCTGGTCTTAGGAACTGGACCAACTGGTCCGTTCTTGGAAATTCAAGACCAGGTCTTTTATATCATGCGATCATCTGATCAGATCATCCAAATCAGTTTATCATTGTAGATTAGATGATCAATTTCAAAAAAATTAAAAGTATTTTTTAATTAATGCCATGGTAAAATAATAATAAAGTTAATTAAATACTTTATCTTTAGAATCGATGAGATTGAATGGAAATATTAAAGGATATTGCTAAAGCTCATCAGAGGTAAGTGTCACCACCAGGCAAATTACATAATTCCCTGATCAACCCTAAATTTGCCCAATGATGACTAGGAATATTCGAGATAATCCTCTAGAACAAGTATATAAATTGGCTTTAGATCATAATCCCACTTCCAAGATTAATGGAATTCATATGTCCCGTGAATTTTATACGAGTGGGTATTTACGAATTTAAAACAAAAAAATGGAAGCAATCTTTTGGTTAGACTTATAAATTAATCTTATTAATCTTATTATTAATCCATTTGAATTTTTTTTTTTTAAAAAATATATTTGTGTTTAACATAATCAATTTACTCACTCTTTCTCAAATTTATTAATAGAAAGCTGTCTCGAAGGTTGCTTTCATGCAGTTGAATGAAGAGACGACAATGTTAAAGATTTAATTGTGACCCAATAGCCTTCTATCAAAAATGATTTCTCCCCTTAGCCTTTTATCAAGCTTGTATAATAATCGAAAAATCAAGATGTAAGGATACCGAATTTAAAGATACAGACTTTTTAAATTTCAAAGTACATCTAGAATGCTGACAATTTCAAAAGGCATTTATAGGTATGGTTTATATTTCTTTTTAGATAGTTATTTATACCAATTAATCATTAATTATTTAATTTATATTTTAATAGAATTGTGTATAGGTTACATACATCATATTTCATAATCGATGATGATATGAAATCGAGCGGCCGTTTTGTGCAAACGAGTCTATTAAGTTGTATCGGATCCGGAAGAATTTAAAATAAGGTTTCGTTGAGTTATCACCATCGTCACCCACATCATGATTGCCATAATCCGTGGGAGTAACAACTGAAGGAATAACTAAGAGATATGAATGGATTTTGGAAATAAAAAATAATTAAATATGATTAGTGAATAAAACATCCTAGATGGTAATTTAATCTAACTTTGGAGATAGTATTTATATTTACGTATGATGTTCCTTAATTAGTTCTATCAATCAGAGTTTTATTCCACATGACCGAAATTCAGAAACTTAGGAGTTTTCTAGTTAAACATATCAGTATGACATCACATCAAAAATTAAAATTTTGCGTTTAAATCAAGTTCACTAAGTAACCAATTTTTTGTCTCATAAAAACAAAAAAAAAATGAAATTATTATTAACGCTATCATCATTTTTCCAATCTTTACTAAAACAGATAAACAAATATATTATGATTATTTCTTTGATTATTATTATTACTACTATTACTTATTATTCAATAAATCTTAAAAATTAATTAGCATCTCCCTTGTTAATTCCTAAAATTTTTTTATATCAATTTCTCACATTCCCCAATAATTAAATCTGTTTCTTTATTAATTTATTAATTGATATTATTTTATAAATATATTTTACAAAATGAAATAAGTATATAGTACTTATACGTGGACAAATTTATTTTTTCCCGGTCTTTTATCTATACCTCATAGTATTATTACCTAAAAACCCGAATCTACAAAGTAATAGAAATATTATTATTACTCGAGACCCAGAATAGGTATCTAGCAGCTAAATAAATTAAAATAAGTTTAGTCTATAAATTATTAGACGCGATTTTGTGATTTACATATTTTGAATAAAAAAATCTTTTGTAATATAAAAAAATTAATAAATAGTGCTTAATAATTTAATAAATATATATCATCATCACCATCCAATTAAAAAAATAAAAATAAAATAAATCAAATATA